GCTTTTAACCAGCAGTTTTTGTTTGTCAAGTTTTGTATCGAAACAAAACGTATTGTAAACAAAAATGCATCGTAATTTTGGGAGTCAGAGAGGGGGCCTGAGCAAGAGGAAGGAGGACCAGATGCTAGGAACATCAAGAGTTCAGTAGCCCCATCCTCGCTAACATCGATAAAAATGTACATGGTAGTGCCTAGCACATATTTGAAGACGGTTCTCTAAGCTTAGAAAAACATCAAAGGATCAGGTTGTAGCAATCGCCAGCCTGTTTCTTTTCAATTTAGAAGCAAAACTCTGTGGACCAGTGGAAAAAAAATTCTAATTGAAAGGGAAATTTCGTAAATTTTAGAATTTCTTGCGAAAGTTATGGATTCGCAACAAGCTAAAATGGCACAGATTATTGGCTAGTAAAAAAAGACTAGCGGACGAATGATAATGTGTGAACATCATTGCAATATAGTAATAATTAGCATTTAAAAGTGTTACAAAATCAAATGATTTTATATTTAGATCAAATCATTTTACATCTAATGATTTTATATACGCTACTAGAAAACTACCCCCACCCCTCCTCGTCGGCCTTGTCTTCGGCCCTCAAGTGAATGGATTGCGGCCAAAATGGATCTGCTCTTGCCTATGTCCCATCATGACATCTTCTGGCACAATACAAAAACATCTGGCCATTGACTGTTTTGCGCAATCAAGCGAGGAAACCGGGTTATGGTTAATTAATCCCTACAGGGGGTGCAATTTGCGCAGCTTTTTTTCTCCAGACATCCGAGAAAAAACATTTACACAAAACAGCAGGAATTCATTCTTGGTTTAATGACAAACTTCGTTTTAAAATATGTTGAAAGGGGGTAACGCATGAAAGCATGTAACTGATAATGAGATCTATGCATCCACACGGTATCCTTTTTCCTCCATAGTAAGATTTTTCTGGATTTATGGGGGAAGTACTGAGAAAAATGAGGACTTTTATGTATCAGCGAAAATAGAAAATTTATGGAATCCTACAAATTGTGAAAAAGTATTGCAAACAACGACTCGAAAATTCTAACTTCCTAAATTTTACACAGCTCAAAAACATTTAGCAACTCTCTAGAGTTTTTGAAAAATGAATTAAAAAGGTTAATAGAAACATACGGAACTTTTTTTACGAAACTGTGGTCTTATTGCTAACACCGGCTAGCAATTTCTTCAACTATGCATCTAGCAACATTTTCAGTCGCTTGACCAGTGCTGTATTGTCCAGTGGTCAGCCAGCTGACGATTTTGATATTCGCATTGTCCCAAATATGGGCTATTTAAGCCGTGAAATTAATTATGTCAAAATAAATAAAACTGCGGCATAATTTAGAGTAAAAAGTTGACTGAAAAATTGTTTAATTGCAGAATAATTTGCCAAACGACACTGTTGTGCCTCATGCATACAACCGTAAATTTTTGACCAAAACATCTTGATTTTACTACTGCTAAAGTGCTAGCTTTAACATTTCTGGATTAACTTCTTCAAATTTGTGCTATTTGATTCTTTTCTTATTAATCCACAAGAAAAAACATTGGCTAAATTTTCGTAGCTCGAATTTTTGATCACGATTTAGAGCTAAATTCAAAATTTGCGTAAAAATGTTCA